AATACTTTGAAGTTCAGTTATCTCTCAGTAGATGGAGAAAATAATGAAGAAAAAATACTTGGAAGTTAAGTTATCTCTAAATAGATGGAGAAAAAATACTTTGAAGTTCAGTTATCTCTCAGTAGATGGAGAAAATAATGAAGAAAAAATACTTGGAAGTTAAGTTATCTCTAAATAGATGGAGAAAAAATACTTTGAAGTTCAGTTATCTCTCAGTAGATGGAGAAAATAATGAAGAAAAAATACTTGGAAGTTCAGTTATCTCTCAGTAGATGGAGAAAAAATAATAAGAAAGAATACTTGGAAGTTGAGTTATCTCTAAATAGATGGAGAAAAAATACTTTGAAGTTCAGTTATCTCTCAATATTTGGAGACTGTACTAAACTATTATTAAGAAACTTTACTTAAAATACAATAGAAGTAATTACTATCACTACCTTATATTTGCACAACAAACACGTCCTGATGCCCGTCCAATAACTATCAATTTAAATCCGTATGTGTTCATTCCAGAATGAAAGATTCATAATTTATGCTTATTTCATAATTTTTTATGGTGGTTGTGAGATCGTTCAAATTTTCCGGACCTGAACCGAAATTGATTACTGAAGACAATATATAAAATATAACGTTTTCTCTTAGGAAACGTTTGGTAACTATTTGGACATTAAAAATACTTTTGTGCATCAGAAAATTTCGAACTTTCGTATGCGAAATCTGTATAATGTTAAGATGAAAATTACTTTGCCTGACAGATAGGAAAGATGTGAAAAAATTGCCCGCCCAATTTGTATATAAGAGCAACGTTATTATTTTCTCCTATCACTCGCGATTTTGTGAGAAAATAACAAAAAGGAAAACTAGTAGTCAGGAGAATTACTTCGAAATTTCATATTAGTTTCGCTTACCGTCGCTAGGTGGCAGCACATAATGTTTTTTGGTGTAAACTACGACAGTTTGGGTCTTTTCACTTCACAATAATGATATCTGAGAAACGAATTTCGCTAAATAAGTAAATAAATAAAGAATTAGTTAAATTAATATTTAATGTATCAAGCACCCGAATTATCTTTCCAAAAGAACGATCTGTATACATCTTATTGATGTCTCAGTTTAATAACACCAGTTTCTTAATCATCAAATCAATACATTATATAGCGGTC